TTATAACAAACTACGCGTGCGCAACTGCGTCCTTTTTTTTTTTTGTAACAACATGGTTAAACCACAAAATTGGCAATATCGGCTTATTCGGAACACAGTGTTGACAATTGTAAAACGATTGTGGAAAACGATTGGTGTATGAAAAGCACCAACGGTGTGGTAACGTTGATAATAATCCAATGACAACTATGCATGAACCATGCATGGAAAGTTTACTCGGTAGCAAAAATAAGTTTGACCAAAGTATGTAAACCTTTACAAACGTTGGCTTTCTAATATTCTATCTATTTTTTCTAATACAAATCCAACGTTGATCCAATGTCATGCTTTTAGCAATGATATCAATAAAAGATTATCGACGTAACTAAATACAGCTTACACTGTTAGGTGGATCCAACGTGTTTAAAACATCGCAAAAGTTGATTGTTTTTACAATGTAAAATTAAATTGATTAACTTTGATTCAATTTAAATGGGTAAATGTAAATCTAATGTAGAACAAATTGTATAACTTAATGAAATATTATATATGTAAACATATAATCTTATTTTAGTAGCAATATAAAACATTTATGTTTGAATATAATAAGAAATAGTAAAATTAAGTCCAAAATCAAATGATTATCTGAAAATTGAACAAAAAAAAAAAGCAAATATAGTGGAAGTTATAAAGCAACTCAAAACTTACTATTTAGTTGGGGATTTATTTGGTCGAATAACAAAGCTTGTCCGTTTGGTAACGGGCATTTGTCGGGATAATTTAATACAAATTGATATAATTTTATACAAAAATAAAGTCATTTTATAACCTAAATATTTTTGGTGTTTTTATTTAATAACAAAATCAATTATAGGATTGTATTACCCTAATAGTATACCCTATAGCATTGTATTACCCTAATTACCTAATTACCCTATTACCTAATAGTGAGCACTTAATAGTGAGCACCTAATAGTGAGCATAATTTTGAATGGTGAGCGTTAATTACACAAAAAATATGCATTCACCAAACAAAAAAAATTCTTTTTTTTCTTTTAGCACTCGTAAATTTTTAAGACATAACTTTTATGAGAAAGACGAAATTTAAACTTTAAAAGTTTTCAGTTAAAAGATTAAAAAGAAATGATAAGTTTATTTTGTAAAACCTTTTTGCATTAATGGTACCATTAAATAAATTTTTTATAAATAAGTATTGTCGCAGATTTATTATGTCTAAGGTGGGTCGTGTCCTAACCATTACTATAGTCTTTATTTTATTTTATTTTTTAAAAAAATCGGCCTTATTACTAAGTTTTGAACAACAGCGGTCTTGTATATTGTTACTTTTGAAGCAAGACGAACGCTGGTAGGCTCTCTTGTCAAACCCTAATTCTGACGCTATCCTTAAGGTCCGAAAATGAATAAAACGACTTCATTTTAAAGAGAACCTGCCTACCCCAAACCCTCAGTCGTTGTTTGTACACTTTGCTGCATGTTCTCTCTAAAAATCAGTCGGTGTATGTGCACACAGCTGCGCAAATCCCTATATACCCCATATTGCCTGTTTCCTAAAAATACGAGTTAGCAGGCGCAAAGGACGCTCAACGTCGAAATAGGGGTTTGACAAGAGAGCGTTCCACAAACGTGATGCGATTTTAAGAATTTACCTTAATTGCTGGAAACGTTAATTACTGAAAACGTCAAAAATCATACCAAAAAAAAAAAATTTTAAGTTTTGTGGTTTAAAAATTGTATAACTTCTCAACTAATAATAATATACCAATAAGTTTGGTATTTTTTTAAAGTAAATAGTTAGTTCTAACTTATGGCATTAGTTTTATATTCATTTTACATTAAAAAAATAAATGTTGAATTCAACATTTATTTTTTTAATGTGGATGGTCTAAAAAACAATTTGATTAAAACTTAATAGTAGGTACTTAAGTACCTACTATTAAGTTTTAATCAAATTGTTAATAGTAGGTACTTAAGTACCTACTATTAATAGTAGGTACTTAAGTACTTAATTAAGTACTATTAATAGTAGGTACTTAAGTGTCTTAATAGTAGGTACTTAAGTATCTACTATCAAATTATTTTTTAGGCCATCCACAGTTTACTAGAACTTTCACCTCGTTAACTAATTTTGAAGAAAAGAAAAGTTTGAATGTAAAATATTTTTTCCTATTAGAAAAAAAGTTATCTTTTAAAACTATGCTAAACGCGCAGTCATAATTAATTACCTTATCACATTAATAATATAAGCATCTCTATTGTGACATACGCGCAAAGTTTTGAAAACCGCAATTTTGATGTTTATTTAAAAATTAAGCTTTTCTTTATTTTTTATGTATATAAAATCAATAGAACTTTTAAAATATTTCGTATTTTAAAAAATTGGGAAAGATTTGAACCCTCGCATTGTACTTCGGAAGCGCAGCGCATTTTGCAGCGCAGTGAGCAACCACTGCAAACCTTTGCAGTGAGAAAAACTTTATAAAAATAAGAATATCTATAGAACTTCAAAAATGTTTTGCTTTCGTTTGCATTTTCTTATAAAAAAAAATGTGCTGCGACTCTTTCTCGTCACTAACTCAGGTGTAATGGCTGCCGTGAGTTTCGTGTAAAACACTGGCAATTTAGTTTAGTATTAAAATATTACATAAATTGCAAAAAGGAATATCAACTTCTTAAATTTTCCGAAAAATATCTGTTTAATTTGTCATAGTATTGGTTAAAAGTGGGAATTTTGTGACAAACTTAATTTTAAAATAAATCAACATTTTATTCTGATGAGTATTTTATGTTTAACTATAAATTTACATAAAAAAAATGTTGAACTATTAAGTTTTAATCAAATTGTTTTTATTATATAACAATATATTGTTATGTTAATATATTAATATACAATGTTAATATATTAACATTGTTATAGAAAATTGTTTAACAATGTTTAACTATAAGTAGCAATGATTTATTTTAAAATTTTATTTTATTCGTATTTTTTTTATTATTAATAACTTTTTATTGCAAGGATTTATGGTTTCTTCAACATTCACTGGGGGCGTAACGTAAATTTTTAATTAATATAAAATAGTTTTTATTTTATTAAATTATTTGTAAGCTAAAGTTGGTAAAGTATGGACTGGATTAAATGCTAATGTGGTTTAGTGCTAACATATTCCATCGCTAACCGTGTTTCATTCGTTAACATTTTATTGTTAACACATTTCAGTGCTAACGTGTTCCAGTGCAAACGTGTTTAGCCTTAACATGTTAGCGCTAAATAATTTTATTTTACTTTTTTATTTACATTGTTTTCATAAATAGAGCAAAGTTCACAATAATTTTAAATAAAATATTACCTTAAGAGTTTAATTGCTAAAGAAATATTGTTGCTACAAGAATACATCGTTGCTATAAAAATATTGTTGCTACAAGAATACATCGTTGCTATAGAAATATTGTTGCTATAAAATAATATGCTGTAATATGCTAAAATGTTGAACAAGGTAATTTGTGATCTATTTCTTTCTTTTGATAATGACAAGTATTTTCGAAAATTTGAAATGCTTGTTATTGTTAATAGTTTAAGGATGGGAATTTTGTTGTCAGAAGCTTTGTTCTTTTCATTTAGTTTTTTTGAATTTGTTTTTCAATATTCGAGTAATTTCAATATAATATAAAAGTAAATACTTTTTCAATATATTGAAATTAATCCAATATTGAAAAAATTCAAAACACAATATTTTCAATTTGTTTTGTTAGCAAATTACATAATGTAGTTGTTTAGTTTTATTAATATTATTTAAATAATTTAAATTATGTAAATCATAATGTGCTACAAAATTTATACGTTACTTAGTGAGTTTGTAAAAACCTTTGCAGGAAGAAAAATATTAAATACAATTAAAAAAATGCTATATATATATATATATATATATATATATATATATATATATATATATATATATATATATATATATATATATATATATATATATATATATATATTTTACATTTAATCCTTCGAAAAATTAGTGTAAATATTTTATTTTATATTATAAATTCTGAAAAACTCAAGCATATTTATTTTAATCTTTTCATTAAATATACCGAAGTTTTATTTTTCAAATTTATTTCTTACACTACCAATTATGGGTTAAAAGTAGGATTTTTTTTTCCCTTACGGCTGCTACTTTTGTTTGTTTTATATATTTCATTTATTTAATATTTAAACTTAAAACTATAATAAACTTCTTTATATTAAAAATCAATAATTAATAGTTAATTAATTAATTACTTTAGATTATTAATACATAATTAATAAACAATTGTACATATGTTTTTATTATTTTAAATGATAATCTTCTTTTTGAGAAATTTATTTTTTATTTTTGCGTTATTTATTAATCTTTTACTTTTATTTTATACTGTTTATTTGCTTTTACTTAATTGGCAATGAAAAGTATTATAAATGTAATTAAATAAGTTAAACTATAAAATGCTCTACCAATAAAATGTTTTTATATAAAATCATATCTTCTTATTTTTTCAAACCAAGTCTTAAATGTTATTTTTGTCATTTTAATATTTTATTAAATTTTGTTTCTTTTATTTTACAAAACAATTGTTAAATCTTATTCTTTGAAAAACTATAGATTTTAAACGATATGCGATATATTTAAATTTTCTTTTATAATATAAATCAGAGATATATACATTGAAACTATATTTTATTGTCAAACTATATTTTGTCTAGTAATGACGCATTTTTTGGGGCTTAATGATAAGAATAAATTTGTCTTCTTCTAGCCCCGGTCATGTAATTATTTTTTTTTATAAGTTACGACTGTAAATTTGTTTTATCTGCAAAAAGTGTAAATAAGTAAATAATATATTTGTATTTTTATATAAATTTATTTCTTATATTTAGACTTATTTTTACTTTATACGCATATTTTTATTCGATAAAAAAAAGCTGTTAATTAAACTTTGTTGCTGTCAAGTTGTAAATTTTTTTCACTAGATTCAAATAAAGTAAAAAAACAAACTACAAAAGATGTCAGAACACTTTAATGAAAACTCAACAGCTTTGGAAGTTGTTGAAAATATTGATTTAAAAGGTTATGAGGTCATTGTAACCGGTAGCAGCTCTGGTATTGGTGTTGAAACAGTAAAAGCATTAGCAAAAGCTGGTGCAAGATGCATTATGTGTTGCAGAGACATAAATAAAGGTAAACAAATTGCAAATGAAACCATTTTGTCGACTAAAAATGACAAAGTTGAAGTAGAAAATCTGGAACTAAACTCTTTAGAAAACATAAACAGATTTGTACAAAGATTTCTTGCTAAAAACAGACCATTAAATATTTTAATTAACAATGCTGGAATCATTGTAGAATCTCAATCTTTTACTGAAAATGGGTTTGAAACTCAGTTTGGTGTTAATTACCTAGGTCATTTTGCTCTGACAATTGGTTTATTACCATCTTTAAAAGAAGGAGCAAAAATTTTAAAAAAAAAGTCAAGAGTGATTAATTTAACATCAGCAGTGCATGCAGGAGCAAACATAGATTTTAACGATTTAAACTTTGTTAACGGTCGACAGTATGATCCTTTTATTTCGTACAGCCAATCCAAAGCGTGCATCTCTCTTTTTTCATTAGCTTTAACAAATCGATATTTTGATGATGGTATTGTGTCAAATTCAGTAATGCCTGGTGTAACAATGACCAATTTAATGAATTCTTTTAGCAAGGAAACAATGATTAGAAAGGGATGGATAAATTCTGATGGATCAGCTACAATGAAGATGAAATGTGTTGAAAATGGTGCAGCTACGACAGTTTGGACTGCTACTGCTGCTGACTTAGAAGGCAAAGGAAAACTTTATTTAGAAGATTGCGGAATCGGCAAAGAAACTTTTAACGCAGAAGAAGTACTTTTAAAATTACGTGGGTTTGTACCTTATATCATGAATAACGAACTAGCTGATAAACTATGGGACATTTCTGAAAAATATATTCAAAGAAAATCTCCTTAATTATTTATCGGAATAATACAGACTTATTAAGTATCAGTATGTTTTAGTTTTAAAACTTTTGGGCAATCATAATTGTTTATAATATAGTATTTTTGTATTTTTGTGATATAAGTAGCTAAAAGGCATGATAATTGTAAATTCAATAATAATATAGAATAAAATCTAAAAAATTTTTTATAACATTTGTTTATTCCGTAAAATCTTTTCAGTTATAATTTAATTCGTTTTTTATAAAGCACTTTAAGATATTTTGAAAAACTAGCCCCAGTAACATAATTCAGTCAAATTTTGTGTTTTAAATCGACAGTCAAGGGTTTTGGTTAAATAAATAATAAAATTTTTTATATGTAACGTTTGTGAGATTTCAACATAAAAAAAAAAAGCAGAAATTGTAATTCCGGCCGGAACCGCAATGACCAAAAAGTCACAAGTCCGGCCAGAACGAAATTCAGGTACATCCCTAGAATAACTGCTATTCTTGTTTTATTTTTACTTTTTATTTGTTGCGTAATAATAATATGAGCGCAATAGGCATTTTATTACGACAGTTTATATAATTTTTTTTTTTTTTTCAATTTCTTTCGCCTTTCACTATAAATACAGTTTTCATATTTCACTATTTTCATATTTCACTGTTTCACATTTTTAATCTTTCTTTAAAATCCGGTATTGTACCGGAGAAATTAAAAATTGCTAAGATTATACCTATTTTTAAAAATGGCGATGATACAAATATGTTCAATTATAGACCTATTTCTGTCTTACCATGTTTCTCTAAATTGTTAGAACGAATTATGTATGATAGACTTAACAACTATTTAACTGAGAACAATATTCTGTATAATAAACAATTTGGGTTTAAAAAAAATCATTCAACGGACCATGCAGTAGTCGATCTAATAAATTATGTATCCAATGGGTTCAATAATGATTGCTATACATTAGGAGTTTTTATTGGTTTGTCAAAAGCATTTGACACTGTTAATCATGATATTCTAATAAAAAAACTAGAAATGTATGGAGTATTAAACAATAACTTACAATGGTTTAAAAGTTACCTTTCAAACAGGAAACAATACATAATATATACAGAAAATGAAGAAAAAAAACATATCATAACTTGTGGTGTTCCCCAGGAATCAATCTTAGGGCCCTTATTATTCATACTGTTCATTAATGATTTGTATTTAGCATCCAAAATTCTAAACGTTATTTTGTTTGCTGATGACTCAAATCTTTTTTACTCTAACAGAAATATTAAAGATCTGTTTAGAATTTTTAATAAAGAGTTATTAAAAATAAATGAATGGATTACGAATAATAAACTTTCATTATATGTTGGGAAAACTAAATTTATGTTGTTCCACAAACCTAGTAAAGGTGATAACCTTTTTTTAAAACTACCTGATCTCTTTATAAACAAAAAATGTATTAAAAGAGAGTCAACTATTAACTTTCTAGGAGTGATATTAGATGAAAATATATCATGGAAATATCATATTAGATCTATTGAAAATAAAATCTCCAAAAATATTTCAATGCTATATAAAGTTAAACCTTTTCTTAATACGGAATCTTTAAAAATTATATATTTCTCATTTATTCATAGTTATCTTTCCTATTGTAATCTTGCATGGGCAAGTACTAATTATGGGAAGCTCAAAAAAATTTATAGCAAACAAAAACATGCTTGTAGGATTATTTTTGGCGTTAACAGAACTGTTAATGGTGAATCTCTTTTAAAGAAACTTAATGTGCTTAATATTTACAAACTTAATATATACCAAGTTATGCTATTTACGTTTAAAACAAAACATGCGTTATCTCCTAATATATTTCAGTCTTACTTTACCGAAATATCTCATAAATATCCCACTAAATTTTCATCTGATAATTTTGTTATTCCAAGATCTTATTTAAAACTCAATTCATTTCAAATTCAATACCGGGGATTATTTATATGGAAAGGTTTTTTAAAAAATATAATTAAAAATAAAATTCTTCGAGGCATCTCCTTAGAACAATTCAAAAGAGAATCTAAACTTTTTCTATTAGAAAACTTTTGATTTTAAAGAAAAAAAAAAAACTTTTGATTTTAAAGATTTCTTCTAAAATCACCTAAAATAATTAAACCTGAAAAAGTCATCACTACTCATTTACTATTGTCTTGTGTATCTTGTTTATTTCTTATTAAAATAAAAAATATATATACTATTAATTTTGAACAGACAAATAATATTTATTCGATTTATTACTTGTGTCTTATATTTGTCGAACTAATATTGTATTGTACTTCAATTTTTAACCTTTTAGTTTTTAACTTGTAACTTTGTGACGTTAATGTAAACGGGGCTTGGCGATAAGACAGTTTATGTCTTCTTCTTTCTCCGGCCAATTTTTATACATGAATGGTTTTTTCTCATTGTAAATTTAATTATACGGCAAAGAAAATATAATATAATAATAATAATAATATAATGTACATACTTATACAAAAAAATAAGTAGCTGAGCAAGAAAAAGATATCTTATCAACAAGCACCATTTTTTCGTAATTTACAAATATTTGATTGTAAAGACGTAAATGTATAAACTAGAAAATAATACATCGTATTGTTTTATATAAATTTTAATACATAAAGTAGCAAATAGTAATTGCTAGTCTGCTTACATTTTCTACAGTAGCAAAAAACAAAAACAAATAAATATTACATACATTCATATACCATTCTGAGAGAGAGATAATATCATTAATAAACTTAGTTATATGGATTTTAATAATAATCTTTTTTTCTCATTTATCTTAATTTTTATATTTGACTTTATTTAAAAGAAACATTTAACTATTATAACGTATTTTATATATTATTTAATATACTCTTTTTAAATTTTGCTGAAGGGTCTCTATGAAAAAATTGCAATGACGTATGGCCATTCTTTTCTACTTTAAGCCCCTGTCTGTTTTAATCATTTTTTTTTAAATTTATGTTATGAAGTTGTAAAAGTTAACTAATAGCTGCGTATAACAAAAATTTAAATGTATATAAATATATTTTCAATTAAAAAATTAATTCTTTTATTTTTTTTTTTGAAACAATAATAATTCCATTCATAAGAAAAATCAAAATTAATTTTTTTTTTTTGTGTGTGTGTTTTTATTCTGATTCACCCTAAACAAGGGTGCTAAACAAGTTGGGAGTTAAAAGAAAAGGGTCCCAAAAAAGAGTTACAGTTCCACAAAACGGTTGACAGAAGACTTAAAAAAGATTGTATGAGTCAGGAAAACATGAAGATGGGAGAGATTTCCGAAAGGTTGAAGTGCTGAGGAAAAAACTAGAAGAATAAAAGTTTTTAGAGCATGCAGGGACAGATACAGTAAAAGAATAAAACTTTGCTGAATGACGAATCAAATGAGGATGAGTTTTAGTTAAAGGATGGTAGCTCGTTTGAGCAACGGTCAAGATAGTATTTGTAGAAAAGAGAAAGTGATGCAACTTTATGATGATGGGAAAGAGCCTCAAGCTTAGTAGATAGAGCGGGTCCAACTATGTTTGTAATGTGTTTTTTGACCTTGCCTTGAAGAGAAACAGCATCATTAGTAGAACCAGCCAAAATATGACAATAGTATTCCATACAGGGACGAATAAGAGATTTGTTGTGGTAGAGAATTGAATCAGGAGAGAGAAAATGGCAAGCACGAAAAAGAGAAGCAAAATTAGCAGATGCTAATTTAGCAATTATATATATGGTTTCCATGAACTTTCAGTGGTAAACAATAATCCAAGAAGATGTGAAGAAGATGACTCAGTGAGAGGGTTGCCATTCATTAATATAGGAATGTCAACAGTACTGCATAGTTGGTTCTTTAAAAAAAATCATTTCTTGAAGAATATTTATTCAAGAATGGATGCTGGAGATGAGTTGATTTTACATTTAAACATAAAACAAAAAACATTTAAGGAAAGTTAGGAGAATATTCATTTTAAGTTAGAAAAACCTTGAGTAAGTAAAAATTTTTTTGAAATTTATAAGACGTGCAATATACTTCTATTGACAATGAAGAAGATTCGATTCAACTTTATGGGTACTACCCCAAATAATATTAGCATAATTAATATGACATTGTATACAAGAGTAATATAGTCGAGTTATTAAATGTTTGTTTAAAAAGCTTCTTGCTTTATATAAAACTCCAATATGTTTTAAAACATCTTGGAGTTTCTCCAATATGTTTTAAAACATCTCCAAACGATGTGAATCTTCCACAATAGATTTTCATTTATAATGATACCTAAGTTTGTGGATTACTCTTTTTGTTGGAACGTTATTAAAATAAAGAAGAGGCATATCACTTGAAAATTAATTTTTTTAAAACTTGGATGAAAGAGTGTCTATTTAATTTGATCAATATTGAGTGAAAGTTTATTAGATTTAAACCAGTCGGAGATTTTTGACAGCTCAACGTTTATATTATAAAAATGTTTATTGATAGGAATAAGTTTGTATCATCAGCAAATATAAATGTTGTTAATTTTGAGACTTTATAGAGATCATTAACATAAATTAAAAATTATAAGGGTTCTAGTATAGATCCTTGTAAAACCCCACAGTTTATATTTAAAAAATCATGTGAAGAAGATCCTTTAACGTGAACATATAGCGGATGCTACTATTGGTCCACAAAGTAACCAATGAGCAAAATTCAACTAAACCGCTCAAATTGCATATATAGGTCCACAGTAAACTACTACAAAAATTTTTCTCGGGGTAAAAATTCAAAATTTAATTCTAGAACGTAGAGGTAACAGACTAAATGAAAAGAAAATCAGTATTATTGATTAATTTTTATAGAAAAACAATACTTTATATCACTCTGACAATCGCAAATTATTAAACATGACATTTATTAGGTAAAAAATGTATTTCTGTATTCAGGGCCGCGCCAGAGTATTTGGCATCTTAGGCAAATCTGACACACTGCGCCCCCCCCCCAACTTACTTTCACAAAGGAATGCTTAAGTTATGTTACTACATATTGTATTTACATTCGGAAGAATATATACATGCATAACCTTAAATAAACGTATATTCGTGTAACTTTTTAATATATTAATAAGTTTCACTTTTCG